GAAGCACCGACTTACTATAAACCTCGGCATAGATAGTTGATATATTTATTTATATGACCTTATAAACTGATCTTCTTAAGCTGACGCGAAGTTGGTACAGGTCTTCGTTGTTGTTGTCGTTGTTGTTGATGTTGTTGGTCGATGGCTGACGTTTCGGCGACTTCGTCTTCCTCAGAGCCAAGACGTATTTTGTATTAGAATATTTTTATTAATCGGTTGGAAAAAGTTAAAGTATTAATGAAGATCAAACTTTCAAATAGACTCCATATTGAACAGAAAGGCCACTCACCGTGATGTTACGTGCGGGACTGCCCCACACGTAGTTCACGTGGAGTCGCGAGCAAGACACGCCCAGGGGTCAAAATATCATTTTGAAATAGGGCGCCAGGTCACGCGTGATAGTGAGGCATTCGCCCTTCCGGTTCATCTTTGGATTTTTGAAATTTATAAAAAAAAGGCCTCAAGAGTTTTGCGCGTTGATGTTTTTGATTCCTGCGCTAGGATCCGCACATTCACTTCAAAATCATCGCCGTTGTGCTTTTGTGCCCTATGCGTACCTAGAGGGGTGTTTAAACGGATTTTAGCTTTCCCATCTAGATGTTCTTTTATGCGGACACAAAGTGGTCTACCCGTTTCCCCGATATATTCCTCGCCGCATGCATTACATGAGATCAAGTATATTATACCTAAACTCACGCAATCTCCGTCTCTCCCGTTGGGACAGATCATACAGTTTTCTGAGCTGCACAAACGATCACAGAGACGGTTTCGAACTAACTGGCGGCGTAGGGTATTGGGCGGGATGTCAATAATCGTTACATAATTTTCAAGACCACTTTTTCTTAAGCACTTTTTAATGGCGTGACTTACTTCATTTGATATGAAGGGTAGCTTAAAGGGAATCTTACCTACGTCCGAAATATTATTTTGGGAAACTACCCAACGTTTTCCTCTAACCCGAGTGGCTTCTACTTCGTAGCCATTGGAAATGGCAATTTTTCGTGCCAGGTTTTGCGATTCCTTCCTCTTCTCTTCTCCTGTACACACATTTTTAGCCGTACGGTACATATTTTTGACAAGTGCTTTTTTCACGTGTGAAGGATGAGAGGAGAGGCAGTGAACCAGAATGTTTTTACTATTTGGCTTGCGATACCATTTTGTTATATAGCCACCACCTGAGAGCTTCATTTGGATGTTTAAGAATGGAAGCCAGTTCTCGGTAGGTTTTTCTCGTGTAAATTTTATACACTCTGACTGTCGGTTTAACAATTCAAAGCACTCATCCATCTGTTCTCGTGTGGAACAGACGATGAAGCAGTCGTCTATGTATCGACAGTAGAGTAAGGGTCGGTGATCGAGAACTGGAGTTTCCACCTTGTACATGAAAGCGATTGCAAGGCTTGGTGCTAAACGCTGCCCCATCGCTAACCCTCTAATTTGTTCAAAATTTTTTCCAGACCACCTAAAAATTGAACAACTAAGACACTGTTTTGAAAGAGTCATTAGTTGCGCAATCGACAAGCCGTACATTTTTTTTCTTTTCATGCTCTACGAGCAACTCGAGAATGGCTTTCATTGCGGAGTCATTGGACACATTGGTATGAAGTGGCGTAACATCGAATTACTCCATTATATGCGTGCTGTTTGGTTGCGCGCTCCTTAGGTGATCTAGAAATATTTTGGTGTTAGGTAGATGGGTTGGTATGAATTTTAGCAGCTGGGTGAGGATAAGGTTTAGGAACCACTTTATTCTATCCGTTAGTCCGCCTATACAACTGACGATAGGTCTAACTTTATATGATGATGGGTTCGTTGCCGTAATATCATCAGTTGAGGTAAGTTTGTGTGTTTTAATTAGCAAGTAAAGAACAGGGCAAATCGAATGTTCGTTTTTAAGTTGAGAAATGACTGAAGACTGGCCTTTGCCGTGCTGACCCATTCTTGATTTAATTTTCGGTATTGGTTTCTGTATTCCTTTTCAGGGGACGTATTGGTTTCTGTATTCCTTTTCAGGGGACGTTCGATAGAGAGAAACATCACTGAGGTGCTCCTCTGTTATCCTAATATCCAACTGACTAGGAAGAACTACAAATTCTCCGCCTTTATCACTAATAGAAAGTTTAACAGATTTTGAATTCAAAAGCTCTCTAACCTGGCGCATACCACATTTTTGTTGGTTTGTGAGGTTGGAGATTCTTTTTCGTTTTTGGTAGTGATTAAGTATGCGGAAAATTTCGTCAGAAAATTAACGAAATGTAGGGTCAATATCGCTGTTTGGTAGCTCTTGTTTAAAGAAAGTTCGAGGAGAAGGTATTGGTGGTAGTTCCCCTCTTGGTACTACCTTACCTAGCCTTTCTAGCCGAACCCTGTAACGTAGTCGATCTTGAAGTTCATGTAGACTGCACGTGATCCTGCGCAGGATTGGTTTAGAAATGGATTGACTAGGTGCAAAACTCGGACCCAGTTCTAACAATGAACGTACATTTTCCGGATATGTTATACCTCCTAGCACAGTAACCCTGGATGTTCTTGGTGCGCAGTCTATTTCAGGGTTTTTACTTGCAACTTGACTAGCGCAGAAATCAAAAACATCAACGCGCAAAACTCTTGAGGCGTTTTGGATAAATTTCAAAAATCCAAAGTTGAACCGTAAAGACGAATACCTCACTATCACGCGTGACCTGGCGCCCTATGTCAAAATGATATTTTGACCACGGGGTGTGCCTTGCTCGCGACACCACGTTAACTACGTGTGGGCCAGGTCCTCACGTAACATCACGATGAGTGGCATTTCTGTTCAATATGGCGTCTATTTGAAAGTTTGATCTTCATTAATACTTTAACTTTTTTCCACCGAATAATAAAAATATTCTGATATAAAATACGTCTTGGCTCTGAGGAAGGCGAAGTCGCCGAAACGTCAACCGTCGATCAACAACATCAAAAACAACGACAACGACAACGAAGACCTGTACCAACTTCGAGTCAGCTTAAGAAGATCTATAAGATCATATAAATAAATATATCAACTGGACAAATATTAAGATTATAAACCACGCTATTCTATCCATTGAGCCGTCTACAAGCTAATGATAGGCGTAACCTTAAATAATGACGGATCGGTAGACGCAAGATCATTGCTGGATCCTAATGAGTCTTGATAAGTTGGTATAAGACGGAACATGTTGGTGAATCAGCGTTTAGTTGGGAGAGAACTAATGGCCTTAAACCAGCAGCCCTTGCCATTTTGACCCATTCGTGGTTCAATTATCGGTATCTACATTTGAGCTCCTTCTCAGATGGCGGACGATAAAGTGACATCTTCAAAAAGCTTTTTCGTTGTCTCAACATCTAACTAATGAGAAATTACTTCAGCTTTCCACCCTTATCATTAACGTATAGTCATATGTCTTTCAATCCTATCAGCTGTCGTACCTCCCGCATACCATGTTTTTGCACTTCAGTAAGGTTGGAGCAGTATCTTTTCGCGCGATAGTGATTAAGGATATTGAAAACTTCGTTATATATCCGAAAAATATCCGAATCTTGATATCGACTTCATTGTTAGTGTCTTGTTGTTAAAGAACGGTTGAGGAAATGGTGGTGGTGGTATTTCTCCTAGTTCCAGTTGTTCGCTGCTGTTTCGCGCTTCATCTTGTTCCTTCTTACGAAGTAGTTGGCTCGACCAGTATTCTACAACAACCTTAAAACAAACTTAATCCTCAAATAGCAGCGCACTGGAGAACTTAGTGAGCGATGAATTTGAGGAAATCAGCTTTTTGGCACCAACAGCAACGAAATAATTATTGCTCTAATTGGTGATTATTTTGTTCTGAATTCGCGAAGTGAAGCTGAGATTGGCGTTTCGATCGGTCTCGTTGCCATAACACTGACTGCCGTGGTGACTGCCATGGAGAAATGCTTCTTCGACTAACAAATCAACTGCAAGGTATTCAGAAGTCGTTTTCTTCGTAATGTTGGGGAATTGGCTCAACCTCATTCGAAATCGAGATGAGCAATTGATAAAATGTTGCCATGTATCTCTGAGAATCTATTATTTTTTTCACCAATATGAAGGAAATATATCATTAAAATAAAGATCTTAGTTTTTTGTGGCCATGAAAATGCCATTTTCTTTTTTTCTGCAGAAGCATAAACAAGAAAACTCAGCTTTTAATAGTCATACTGAACATAACATCTCGTCCTTCCTGGTTCTATGGTAGTGGCACTATAAAACTACTCAATAGTTAACGAAATTGTGTGGATTCCTCTTTTTCTAAAAATCTATGCTTGTACTAAAAAACAGTGAAAAATGTTCCTAGTTTTTGCTATGTCTTTAGTACAGGCCCCTTATACAAAAACCGAGAAAAGCGGAGTTCATCCCCTCATTCTCGAACCCTGCGCATCACTCTTTTAGCAGCATGCCAGTGAAGGAGTTCTTGAAGACGTAAAACAAAAGTAAATGAGACTCTTTCCCATCATTTGCCCTAATTCCAAGTCTATGCATTTGAAATGGACTGGAAATCACGCAGGCAGTGCATTGCTGTGCAAAGCGTGCGTATTAATGGACTCGCCGACTTGATCGACATAAAAACTGCGGCTTTGTATAATAATCGCTTTATAACCTGGTTATGACATTTACTGCTAGAAGTAAGGATTATTTGAAAAAGAGAAAACCTAAACTCTTCCCACATTAGAAGAATGACTTCGCTACAAATCACTGGTAGTCTTGATAAGATAGTCTCTGATAAGCCACTTTATAAAGAGCTCGTTGAGGCAAGTTACTTTATTTTTGTAGCTTTTTATAAATAGATCAGTCGTCCGGAACCATTCTTCAAGGTGAGAAACAAGTTATCTTTGACAGCGACCTTATTTTTATGAGAAAAGCAAAGATTACGGAGACTAACCGTCCCACATTAGCGATCATTCTTTACAAACATGGAAGCAGGAGCTAAACGAAGTTCAATCCTCCATAGTGTAATATCGGTCCGTTTTTCCAGATGTTTATAGAAATTGAGGAAACTGTGTGCTTCATTGCTTCGTTCTTATATGGAAAGATACCGAAGAGGTAAGACGATATTAGCCAAGATGGCTATTGATTGATCAGGTAACTTGTCAATGCCTATGTTTTGTATACGCCCAATCGACGACGTGATTTGATGCATGCTTCAGTAGTACCGAATTGTTTATTGAAACGCTGGCAAATGGTCTGGTAGATTGGTTTTACACTGGATCGAGACAACTAAAATCGTATTCGCTGGCAATGAACGTCGACGAGAACATGGAGAAACATATTGAAGAAGTCCGTTAAACGTTTTCTACAAAGGGAACGCAGCCCCAATCAGATAAACTAATAAGGAGCCGATAGATAAGCTAAGTATAACAAGGTTTTATCCATCAATAGATTCCCCACGCAGTGTAGAGCATCAGACTGTATGTCTCTGTGTTACAGGCGGCCTCTTCCGCTTATATTTCGCGTTCTGAGCTTGCTGAAATATTGCCAGCGAATTTACTGATTGAAATTTGTGTTGGTAGTGTGTATGCAGTAAACACCGAAAGTGGACACGTGAAGTGCGTTTATCCAAAACGAGATTGCGTCACCGGTACGTAGTTTTGGTTGCTTGATAATCCGTCACTATGAAGCCGAGGACGTAACGGCTATATGGACTAAGTATAACTAAAGATAGTCTCCATGTTTATATAGATAATTGTGGCAAAAGATAGAAAAAGAATAGTGTGAAATATAACTCGTATGAAGTGCTGAGATATTTGCAAAACTCCGGACCACAGGTGTATGCAGTGGGGAACGAACACGCGCTGTTGTCCTTACCGGGGAGCAGCGCACTTCACCACTACACCACCCAAAAAGAATAGTGTTAATAAGAAATGTATGGATATTGATGGATTGGAAAGTAGTGGCAGCACTTCATCTTTTAACGGGAATACATATGTAGAAGACAAAAAAGCTTATCTAACTAATAATACCGATAATGCCGAGTTCTGATTGGAATCATGGAGTATTCCACATGATTTGATAAATCGACTCATAACGATGCTCTAAAAATAAAGTGATAGCCTTCAATTAGCTTGGCGTAGGAGTTTTACACTCTGAGTAAAAAGCGGAAAAAATGTTGCAATTTCTCCACATACATTGAATCGTTTGTATGATTCGTGGTCTCCTTAAGTGTTTACTAACTTGCGCGCTCATCCGTGAATTGCACTTTTGTCCATCGCCCTCCTTCTTCAATCTCCGTTCACTCGAGCTATGCAAAATCCACAGGACATTCATTACGGCGTCAATTTTTCTTTAGTTTTTTTGTACAGAAACGTATCCACTGTGAGCTTAACGGGATCCATCACAGCAAAGTTTTACTCTTAACAGAGAATCCATGTAGAAATAAAGGCAAACAACAAACAACGACAACAAACAGCAACAAGAATACTAAACTGATAAAGCTCTTACTCTTCGATATTTAAGAACAAAAAAAACCAAAAAGAAGAAAAAAGGATAACCACGATAGGGTGGTCAAACAACGCGGGAAGACGAGATAGAACATCGGGTACATCGAACGAGCAAAATAGAAGTATACTAATTAATACTAATTAGAAATATTACACTAATTAGAGGTTTAATCACTAGCGCCTCGAGAAATCCATCGGTGTGGAAATCTAGAAGGGATGACCATTCTATAATAGGCAGCAAAAATTCTTGCAAAGAAGCCTAACACTTACCGTTCGGAATAACCGATAGAAGTTCTGTAGATCAAGAAGTAAGTTAAGTGGAAATGAAGCAATAATCTTATGACCAAACAAAGTATATTTTTACATTACCCGTCTTCATACCTGTTGTGCGAATGCCAGCACTCTTTGGGGTCGTTCCGTTTCCTCGCCGTCATCATCGCATGAAGGTCTGGGAACTTTTTACGCATGGGTTTCGTTGATACTTGATCATACTCTCGCTTTAGCCATGAATGTCGTGGGATGATGGTTGAGTCGATTCTCTCTGGATTCTTGGTATAGCCGACCTAGAGCTTTCCCTTTTGGATTGCAGAAGACAAGTCTAGTACTAACTTCCCGACACAGCAGGAATGAGAGACTTAGTGAGCACGGTGTGGAATCAAACAACTACCATGGTCATGATGGGCGGCATCATTGACACTATGCTATCGGATTCGTCCAAAAAAGTTACTGTTGTAAGACTCACTCCATGCAAATGTGATCTTCAATGAGTTTTCTAGAGATTTCTTACTCAAGCTCTTTGACGAAACCACAACTGAGTAGTAAAGTTTGTCAGCTACTCTACAGCGCGAACTACTAAAGTATTTCAGGAATTCTCACCAGTTCCTCTATAACAGAAATTCATAATTGTTCAGTAGGATTTGTACTCGTTCTCATTAAGTTGAAGCAATTTCTTATGTCATCAGAGATGAGCTATTGCACTGGACATTGTGCGCTCTGCCGACCAGTGGACACTCGGCGTCATCTGCATTTTCGTGTAGAGTTCGCCTATCCGAGTGGAAATGAGCTAGACGGACAAGCGTTCGTTAAACCAAATTTCAAGGTGAGACAATATTTAACGTCATCGGTGAAAAATGAGAGACACTATATATTCTCTGGTACGAATTCAGTATTATTGCTAAACTGGTTCAGCATTGACGAGCTGCTACAAGGGTTTTTTTTTTAAATGCCAATGATCTGTATAAATTCTACAACTCTCTCTTTTTCGTGGGTCTCCAGTTCCCTTCAGAGTTTTCAGCTAATGTTTTTTTATAACTGTGGAAGATGGTGCTTTCTGCGTCAATAATAGTTTTTAAGAAGCCGCAACATGAATTCAATGAACATGAATTCCTCCTAACGGTTTACCGCCTCATCGTGGCTGGGAGGTATTCCTTGGTGTCGGAAGCGGGGGATTCGTCCCCTCCCCGGCAAGGTTTCCCAAGATGAGAAGGAGTCTGGCGTTTCTACCAGAAAACCTAGGTAAAAGTAAACCAATACCGAGATCCACCACCGCTCTGGTATCAAAGTCTCATAGTGGCAAATCTCCTTCCGATCCAGAAGGGCTGCGACAACCTGTCGTGGTGACGACCGGGGGTAGACTTTCGCCAGGCTGTCCTCTGAATTCCAGGAAACCACAATGGCTTAACCAGCAAATCTTCGAATAATGGTGATTGTGCTGGGTCTCGCACAACTAGTGAGGACGGGCCCTTCAAGTATGGATTATCAAGTATCAAATACATGAATTTGTAATCGCCTAAATATGTTGGAAAGTTTTGAGAAGGCATCAATTTTCGCTTCATAACTTCAATGTGAAAATGCGAGAAAAAGAAGTCTGGAATTTATTTCTACAGTAGTCATGAGCAAAAAAGTGCCTTTTTTCATGTATGCGTCATAGACATATATCAGCCACGTAGGAGAGAGGGCGCAAAGGTCAACACCTATGTTCCAACGGAATTCACGATAGGTCGTTCTCTTATAGTTAACGATAAAGGCTTAGTTTATCGCTTACAGTGCCGTTTGCCTGTTAGGTTTCACTTAGATTGATTTGCTTTCATTGCGCATTCCTTTTTATTAAACGACGAGGACTTCCTGATTTGTTTCAAACCATCAGTAATATTAAAGTGAAACCCTTGGCCAATTTTAACTCTTAATTTTATTAGGTCAATTCCAAGCTTGCGCCTTTTCATCAATCCCATAGATCACTTTAGCTTTTTTCTATCCTCGGTATAGACTGTTTGCGTACGATTTTAAGCATGCCAAGTGTACTATCAGGTGCAGCAGTGTCAACAGTCATCCCGTTGATCGTCGAGTGACTAGAGCGGGCGCCAATAAATGTCTCATTTTTCCCAGTTGCGTGCTAGAGAAGCTCAGTGGGTCCTACTTGCTCCAGGGAATCGAGCACCATACCCCCCTCCTAGAGTTTTCGTATAAAAAGCTCAAACTTCGGGCTGGTAGACTTTCTACACTATGTTTGATATCTCGAGGAATCCAGTCATTAACGGTTCTTGCACAACGGTTGTCGCTCGTACGCATTACGTTTCCAACCGTTTTTATTTTCGATAGTTTGGCCTATAAAACAAAGTGTTTGATTCCTGTTCGCTGACTTCGGATTCCTTTCCACACTTATGTAACACAGGACACTCCTGACATTTCGAAACCGACTTTCCCTGAACCTCGGTGTGACTAATCAATATGCATTCTTTCTTGATAAGCTTGCACGAGGTTGATAAATATATTTATTTTCGGCTAACGT